GAGGCTGCAAACAGCGGCTTGGGACTCTGGCATCAGCTCCATACTGGTGGGTGCATGCGCACCTTGGAGTGGACGGTGGGGATAGGGCCTGAGGCAGCACAGTTCTCCCACTGTCCACTCTGATGTGTATGTGCAATCACCGCCAGCATGGAGCTGATGCCAGGGCTGTGGAGCCTGGCACAGCTGTTTGCAGCATGCCCACTGCAGCTGCCCAGAGCCCAGGCTGGCTACAAACAGCTGCGCTGGGCTCCAGAGCCCAGTCATCAGCTCTGTGCCAGGAGCAGGGGGGAAGACCAGGGTTGCGCTGCCTCAGGCCCCTCCCCCACTGCCCGCTCTGAAGCGTGCGTGCAACCACCAGTATGGAACTAACACTGGAGCCCGGAGCAGATGTTTGCAGCCTCCTGGTTGCAACTGGCCCAGGCTCTGGGTAGCTGCTGCCAACTACAGAGCCCAGTCTGCTTGCAGCAGGGATTGCAGCTGCTCAGCTGCCTGCTAGGTGCAGCCTAGGCTTCATGGCTGGCAGCAGCTGCCTAGAACACCACTGCCAAGTGGTGTGCTGAGCAAAATGGCCTCACATGCCACACTCGACACAGGGGTTGCTGATCCCTGTTTTAGGATTTCAGAGAAGGTCAATGAAGCTGAGGACCAAGGGATGTAATAGGGGTCCCTAACCCCTTGAGTAGAGAGAGTATATTCCTACAGATAGCAGTCTGTGGGGTGCAGGCTGCACAGAGGCTGGTTGCAAGGTGGTAAGCCTGCTAATACTGAACCTCTGGGCCCTGTTAAACAAGGCCTGCAGACAGGTGACTAAGGCAGGGGTGGGCAGTTATTTTGGCTGGAGGGCCACTTTAGCAAATTTGAGAGCTTTTATAGGCTGAGGGGAGGTGGCAATTGATCCTATCCAGCCCCAGGGTCAACCTCCCTGCACCCACTACCAGGGGCACCAGACAGAGAGGTGGACAGGGTCTCCATGAAGACCAGCCAGGACCTCTAAGGTCAGGGTGCGCTTGACCAAGAAGACAGGATGGGGATGCAAGTGGGCAAAGAGAGGTGTCCTGGAGCAGGACAGGCAGGCGGGGGCCAGGGATGGAATCATGGGGAAGTAACAGCGCAGGACCATGGCCCAAGGCAGAGCCGTGATCCACGATCCACTTCCTACATGGCAGGGACATGCGAAGAGCAGGTTGCAATGCTGCTCCAGGCCCCAGCCCTGTGCTGTCAGTATCCCATGACCCCAACACTGGCCCCTGCCCACCTGTCACACTCCTGGACACTGCTTCGAGTGCACCCTGCCCAGCCTCCATGGAGACACTGCCTGCCCTCCTGCCCATTCCATCCAGTGCCCTAGTGATGTGTGCAGGGCAGATGAGCCAGGGTGCTTGGGCAGCAGAGCCAGGTCTTGCAGTGGCAGGGATGCTAGCAGTGCTGAGAAGTGAAGTCCAGTTGCTGTGCCACTCCCACCCCACCACATGCCAGAGGGCAGCAGGACCAGGCACACCTGCCAGGCTGCCCCCCATGCTTGGGCCAGGCAGGGCCAAGGGACCCACCGCAGGCTGTATAGAATCCCTTGGTGGGCCAGATCCAGCCTGAGGGCCGTATTTTGCCCACCCCTGCTATAAGGGGATAGAGCCTAGGGTTTTATAAGCCTAGCTTCCGGTTGGAAGCCTCAGACTGGCTCATGCTAAACTCAGGGAAAGATCTCCACAGGACTAGAGAGAAATCGGAAGGAAGATCATTTGTTTATGTTTAAATAAGATCACATAATTCAGTTATCCAGGTACAATGGCTGACCATACTTAGGGACCACTGAGCAATTAAGAGCAGACTGGATGCGCTGCTGTTTGGATATGAGCTAAGAAGGTGAATTCTATTCCTCTACCCACACCAATGTTTTTAAACAAAAACCAGTTTCTCAGGTTTTGCAAAGGGAGACACGCATTTTCAACCATAGTGATCATCTGACGGGATGTGATGGATTAAATCCTGCCTTTCAGAAGTTACTTCCTACTAGACAATTACATCTTTTCAATTGTAAGGCACAGAATAGGAACAGTTAGAAAGCAGGTAATAATTACCTTGATATTTTCAAAGGAAAGAAAGGTTTTCATGTGTTTCTGTGTACTAACTGAATGAGAAGATTAGATCTAGGAGAGTGAATTTGTCTTGATGACAATCTAAGCCACCTGCAGAAGCACTAAAATCCCTGGTGGAACTCATTCTCTGTTTGCAAGATGGACAACTTGCTTATAGGGCTATTTTTGGTGTAAGGACCCCAAACTGCATGCGAGTCCAAACGTACTGCTATTTACTCTAGAGACCATCAGAAATGGATAGTGCAGTTCACAAGTCAACAAAAAACACAATCCTTCCCATATAGAGGATGATCACACAGTATTAATGTGGGAATGTTAAAGTGGATAACTCAGGGAAACTCAGTCACAGAACAAATGCCTTATTATTAGCATGCATCCGTGCTAATGGATGTTGCACTAAACAATTTAACTGACAAAATTTCCCTTTGTCTAGAAATTTATTTTATTGTGGACGTGACGACTTCTTCAGAATCATACACAATCAGGGTTAGAAGGGACCTCAGGTCATCTAGTCCAGCCTCCTGCTTGAAGCTGGACCAGCCCCAACTAGATCATCCCAGCCAAAGCTTTGTCTAGCCGGGTTTTCAAAACCTCCCAGGACAGAACTTTCACCACCTCTCTGGGCACCCTGTGGCAGTGTTTTATTACCCTCCTAGTGAGAAAATTCTTCCTAGTATCTAACCTAAACTTCCCTTGCTGCAACTCGAGACCATTGCTCCTTGTTCTGTTATCTGCCACCACTGAGAACAGTCCAGCTCCATCCTCTTTTGAACCCCACATCAGGTAGTTGAAGGATGCTATTAAGTTCCCTCTTAGTCTCCTCTTCTCTAGACTAAACAAGCCCAATTCCCTCAGCCTCTTCTCATAAGACATGTTCCACAACTCCTTCACCATTTTTGTCACCCTCCACTGGACTCTCTCCAATTCGCACACATCCTTTCTGTAGTAGGGGGCCCAAACCTGAACACAGTATCCAGATGTGGCCTCATCAGTGCCGAATAGAAGGGAATAATCACTTCCCTGGACCTACTGGCAACACACCTACCAATGCAGCCCAGTATGCCATTAGCCTTTTTGGCAACAAGGGCACACTGCTGTCTCATATTCACCTTATTGTCCACTGTAACCCCCAGGTCCTTTTCTGCAGATCTGCTGCCCAGGCAGGCAGCCCCCAGCCTGTACTGGTGCATGGGATCGTTCCATCCTAAGTGAAGGACTTTGCACTTGTCCTTGTTGAACTTCATGAGATCCCTTTTGGCCCAGTCCTTCAATTTGTCTAGGTCACTCTGAATCCTATCCCTACCCTCCACTACATCTACTACTTCCCCTACCTTGGTGCCATTTGCAAACTTGATGAGGGTGCACTCTATGCCATCTTCCAGGTTGTTGCTGAAGACACTGAACAAAACTGGCCCCAGGACCAACCCCTGGGGCACTCCACTTGATACTGGCTGCCAACCGCACACTGAGCAATTGATTACTACTCTCTAAGCCCGATGCCTCAGCCAGTTTTCTATCCACCTTACAGTCCATTCATCCAGCCCATACTTCCTTAGCTTGCCTGCAAGAATATTGTGGAAGACCATATTAAAACCCTTGATAAAAATCAAGATACACCACATCCACCAGTCTCCTCACATTCACAGAGCCAGTCACTTCATCATAGAAGGGAAGCAGGTTGGTCAGGCATGACTTGCCCCTGGTGAATCCATGCTGACTGTTCCTAATCACCTTTTTCTCTTCCAAGTGCTTAGAAATGAATTCTTTGAGGACCTGTTCCATGATTTTTCCAGGGACTGAGGTGAGACTGACTGGTCTGTAGTTCCCTAGATCCTCCTCCTTCCCTTTCTTAAATATGGGCACTATGTTTACCCTTTTCCATTCATTTCAGACCTCTCCTGATCACCATGAGTTTTCAAAGATGATGACCAAAGGCTCTGCAATCACATCAGTCAACTCCCTCAGCACCCTCAGGTGCATCCCATCTGGCCCCATGGACACAACCAGCTTTACTAAGTAGTCTCTAACCTGTTCTTTTAGTTTGAGTTCACTAAAGCAACCCATTCAGAATGACACATACAGTTTTAAAAAGATACATGCTGCTATACATAGAACCTACCATATCATAAAGGAAGTTACCAAGCCAGTAGGTCTTGTAGCCAAGCCCAGTGAGGTGCTGCAGCCGCTTTGCCCCAGACTCACGGTCTTTCACAATGGAGCTTCCAATGGATGCCGTAAGGAGAGAAAATCCCAACATGATACACAGTGCTACTCCACATTGACGAATATTCTCCATTCTGGGGTTCAAAAGAAAAAGGTATCATGACAATACAGGTCACCAAAAATTTTCCAAGTCAAACTCCTTATCAAACCAATTGCAAAACAACTTGATAAATGTATTTACATTATTAGAAATAGATATAAAAAGAGAACATCTCCATGTATTTTAACCTCAATCCTACCTAGAGTCTTGCTACATGGTCCTTTTAGGCAGCTTCTGGAGCTCTTAACTCCTGGACTGTCCACACATTAATACCTGAAACTAGTTTTAAGCACACTTTAGGCAACAAAGTTATACTACTTGAAGGCGGGTTTATCTCTGATCCATGTTACCCAACTCGTGTTCCATTAATACAGGGGTGGGCAAAATGTGGCCTGCCAAGCCATTCTATCTGGCCCATGGGGCCTCTAAAAAAATTAGAAAATTAATATTTATGTGCTCCTGGCTGCCTGTCATGCAGCCCTCAATGGCTTGCCAAAACTTAGTAAGTGGCCCTCTGCCCAAAATAATTGCCCACCCCTGCATTAATAGGTGACTCATCTGTAGGGATTAGCCACACAAGTTGCAGCAGTCCTCCAGCATCCCAAAATACAGTGTCCCCTCTCCCACCCTCCTGTTCTGGACAAATTTTCCACCCCTTGAACTCTACTGCCCGGGGGGAGGTTCTGACACCAAGCCAACTACCCCTCCTGCCCCCTGGGGTGTCACCTTCCCACCCCCAGGGGTTCAACCCTGTGCAAACAGGCTGCAGAGCACATGCCAGCTATCTAGGTTGCATGGCACAGACAGATCGAGGAGTGGGGTCTAGGGGAGCATGGGAGACAAACAAGGTGAGGGCCCAGCTTGGGTTTCCATGAGCTGGGGCTTCCTTCCAAAGCACCAGTAGCTCCTCAAAAGCACCATCCTTCACCTTTCCCACTTCCCAGCCATCCCAGGAAGCATGACCAGCCCGCTCTACAACTCAATCCCACATTATTAAAACGAGACCTTCTTTAATTTACGCCCTTTTATTTTTTTTAATTCTTTTTTTCCCCACTTCTCTTTAATTTTATCTATCAGTGGCTGACTTCCTTCATTTCATCACCCTTCTCCCAACCACACTTCCTTTCCACCTCCCATTTCATTACCTACCCCCATTCCATTAACTCTCTCTTTCCCCAGCCCATCTTTCACCTTCTACCCCCTACCCTGCCCTCACCTAGACACCAGGGATAGAAAACTGTCCTGTCTCACCATCCCTGTAGTGGCAACTTACAGCTGTAGCTCCAAGTCAGGCCCCTGCTCACCAGCCCTCAAATGGCAATTCACAGATGAGCAGGTAAGGGACAGTCAGAGAAGGTTTTTATCCTTAAGGTGCAACTGCTCCAAACTCAAGCCAGCATTAACACCAATCAACATGTGAGCAGCAAAAAGTGCAACATGTAATAAGGTCCCTACATATCAGCTAATCAAAGAATAGAAAGAAGACAATGTGATTTATTTAACTAGAGAACAAAGCATGCATTTCAAAGTTTGAATATTGAGTATTCACACTGAAGCCTTTCAAGAATGCCCCTCTCACAGAGGATGTGCAAAGTTTTCAAAGAGAAACTCAGTGAGCATTTCAAATAATTAATCCATCTGAGATTTTTGTGACAGGCTTGCAAACACTTTGTGAACAGAAATCCAATTAAGTATAAAAGTAAGTTATTCATTATTTTTCCTCTCCAACTAACTTTATTCAACAAAATACATATGTTAGTAGTATGCCTGGCTAAATGATTGATTGGAAGTGACTTGTGTGTAACCAAAATAACGCATTTACTACATGCAACATATAGTAGTTATTATCTAAGTGGGTTTTCTTCAGTATTAATTAAACATTTGCTCACATTTTGTCCTCATCCAGCAAGGCTCCTCCATATGGATGACTATATAGTGTGATTCCTGTGAAGGGAAAAAGAAAGCCCCATGTCATCTTAACAAACTCTAAAATTAGCAGACTTTAACATTTTTATTAAATAGCTCACTGCCTTGGACAGGAAAGCCGGACATTCATGAAGTGGCATCAGAGCACCATTACAATTTTCAAGCACAATGAAAGGAAGCTCTGAATGAAATCAGGTTCAGAGTAGAGAGGTGGCAGAGTTTATAATATGCATTAAATAAATAAAGTACAACAGCAACTGAGAGGAACAGGGAACAATGTGAGACAAAACAAAGGGGGACCTGAGAAAGATAGCCTTGGCTAGAACAGCCTTGCTTTTGTAGATATTATTCAATACCTCATTGCACCTTTCACACAGTGGATTGATGCACCATAGCTACAGACAGTTGCCTCCAGAGAGCTGTCTGCGCTTTAGTCAATGGGAAATGAAGGCACTCAGGACTCCCTGGAATCAGCACTCAGCTGTAAACTGGCCCTTTGATCTCTCAATTCCAATTCCACAAGGGTTATACTTTTGCAGACATGTTGCACATACTCCTAATAGAGGAGAGTGGGAGTTGATTTCTCTCTGCAGGCCCTGACTGGAAAGGCATTTGGGACTTAAAGTAGAGATAAGAAAGTCAAATTACAGATCAATAGACACTTCACTAAAGTTATGTCTGACAGAGAATATATACTAGGATCATATATTAGCCTTCAGCTGGTTGGGTTTCTTGTGTTTTGCGTTGTTTTATTTTTTTGTCTTTAAACCACCTATTTTTCACCTTGAATATTTATGGCAAAGCACAAAGCCATGCTTCACAACCAGAAAACTCTCATTTAGCTTTTTTGCTGAGTTAGTAGAAAAATTAACTGAAGAGAGAGAACAATCTCATCTGAAGTAAATTTACATTTTTGCTTGGGACCATAATTTTAGCACTTCTACTACAAAACCAAACAAAAATAAAAGCTTTGTTTTCCAGCAGAAAGTGAGCTTTTGACTAGTGCCCACCAAATGAGAAAGTTTCGCAAAAATATTAACTTCTACATACATACTGGGTGCATCTACATGTTTAATTAGTGAGGCACGATAAGCTCCAGCACAGTTTCCACCAGAGTTAATGGTTCCCAGGTGCAGCATCTGCATATGTGCCCAGGACTACAGCAGTTTGAGCTGAGGTGCCACAGCAGGCTTGGGTGGGGTCAGCCCTGGGTTCCAAGTCATGGCATCAGATTGCGGAGGGGCTGGCTGGGGCACAAGAGTGCCTGAAGAGTGGAGCTGTGTGGCTAGGTAGCAGGCAGGAGTCTGGCCCCCTGCTGCCGGGGCTGACCAGGCGCAATTTACACCCAAGTCAGCATTTACACATGCAATTAGGTTCAGTTATTTTCACCACCGTAAGATTGTACTGTCCCCAACAAAAATTAGTTTGCTATGGTCTAATAGGATCACATGTGCAGACCGTGATGTTTTACATCACAACAAATTAGTCTAATGTGCAGTTAAGTGCACATGTAGATGTACTCACAGAAACTAAGTTTCACACTCCCTGATGGAACATATCTTAGGAATGGCCCTAAAGGAAAAAAAAGTTTTGCTTGCAAATTGAATATTATGAGATTTGCCAGATTCATATTTTTGCTTTACATTTATTTCAGGATAAAATTGCTTCTTGAGATTAGGCACATAACACATTAATACCAATATAATCTGTCTTTATACTAATATAAATGTAGAGTGGGCACGTGATATATGGTCCTACAATGGCATACATCACTTCAGTCAAGGCTAAAATTACTCCTTATGAAGGCAGTGGTAACTTCTTACCAGTATATGTTACAACAGTAACTGAAAATCAGTCACATATGCCGCTGCTCAAATCCATTTAATCTAGGGCAACCATTTGGTCAGTGCAAATAGACTATTACTAAGTCCCCTGCTACCTAAAAACTGGGTGCTGTAATAGTGCCTGCTACAGTTAGCTGCCTACAGACAGCTGGTTGCCTGCCCACTCTTACACTGGTGTAATTTATATTCGCATACAAACCTATGTAAATTACACTGATGTAGACATATTGTGCATCTGCAACCACTGTTTTGCATTGCAATACTCTGATTTCTGAATGACTTAATTCAAGACCAAAAGAAATTTGATTACTGCTGAAGAATTCAAATATACGTAATAATGAGATAAAATAGCATTATTAAATAATGACTGGATTTCGTTTTTTTGTTTTTTTTTCTATTTGCTGTGAGAACCATGACTTGGAATGTTCCATACATGACACCAAGTTGGTGAGAGTTAGGCACTCAGGAGGTTGGGCTAGGAACCAGAATGACCTGGATAAACTGGAGAAATGATCAAAAACTCAATCAGAAGCAATTCAACAAGGACAATGTTGGGGTGGGATAAATGCATGTACAAATACAGACTGGAGAATGACTGGATAGGTTATAGTACTGGACAGAAGGACTTGGGGGTTACAATGGACCACAAGCTAAATATTAGCCAGGAGTGTGCTCTGTTTGCAAAAAAGGGCCAAAAGTATACTGGGTTGTATTAACAGCAGTGTCTCTTATAAGCTAAGGAAAGTGATTCTTCCACTCTACTCAGGATTACTGAGGCCTCACCTGGTCTGTGTTGTAACAGGGTGGGCTGTCCTATTAAGACAGGGCAACCAGCCCTACTGAGTAGCTGCAGCTGGGGAGGCTGCTGATCATGGAGTGGCTCAAAGGAAGCTTAAAACTGCCAGAGAAAACAGCAGCAGGAGAGCAAACTGTGAAAGAACACCTGTGACCCCAAGACTGGCAGTGATCTGAACCACTGACTACACAGAGAGGCCAGACTGCTATGCAAAGGTCAAAGCCACAGAAGACTCCTTCCCAGAGAAGCCCAGAGGTGAAGCTACCCATTTACATGCATCCAGTGCATTCAAGAAAGGTGTGGACAGAGGGCAGAGTCCAGCAGAGAGTGACAAAAATTATTAGAGACTTGGGAAGCAAGATTTATGAGGATAGGCTGAAAGAACTAGAGTTATTTAGTTTGGAAAAAAGAAGACTGAAGGAATATTTGAGGATCCTGGGCACAGCATCCTTGGAGGCTCCTAAAGAAGCTGTGGAATCTCCATCCCTGGACATTTTCAAGAGCAGGTTAGACAGACACTTGTCTGGGATGGTCTAGTGAGGAATGACCCTGCCTTGAGCACAGGTTTGAACCAGATGACCTCATGTGGCCCCTTCCAGCTCTAATTTCCTGTGTTCCTTTCTTTATGTCATATCTCCTTAACTATGACTTGGAAGGCTATTTGGAGGAATGCCAAGACGAACTGGATGAAAACTTAGAGTCAGATATACTTCTTTTCCATGTCTCTCATCCATCTGCCAATATTTGCCATTGGCCCATCCTCCCAACTCTGCTCTACTCCATTAACAACAATGGAAAGGATAAATTGCCATGAGGACCAGGAAAAGTCTCAGTCTCAGACCACATGCTCTCCCCTGCCAAGTGCCTTTGCACTAAAGCAGGGGTCAGCAACCTTTTACCTGTACAAGCCGCCCATGTGACCTAGCCCAAAGCTTCCATCCCCTAAAACATCCAACTGCCTGTGCTTACCCTCACCACTGTTACACTTCCCTTTTACAGTGAGGGTAAGCACAGACACAGCAGAGCAGCTGTGCCACTGATCCCATGTATCATATCAGACATTCTCAGGCCAGACTAGATCCAGATGGCCCATAGGTTCCTCACCCCTGTGACCACAGCATTTCTTGGCATGTGGCCTGTTATGCACTGCCTTAGACTGTACTCACTCCTGCATCACGTGGCCTTGCTTGTCTCTCAGTATGAGAGCAAAAGTGAAAACAAGAGTGAAGAGACCAGGAAAAATAGAATAAAAATGGGGGAGGAGAGGGGATCACTGGATGGAAGATGATAGGATAGGTTTCAACCAGTATGTCCTAAGCAACTCCTTCTCTTTCTGCCTATAGGCTGTCTCTTGTCCTCTGCTGATCTCCCCATGACTATTCAGGATTAGCCAGCCATAAGGTACTCAAACCACTCAGACTTCATCAGGGTTGTACAGATTAGCATGGAACATATCAGCTGTTCTGCACTTAGATTGGTTGAGAACTGTTTTGTATATCATTAGAAGGGTTGTTTCCTGTAAGAGATAAAATAGGAATCTGTCTCTCATGATTTATATAGGCTGCTATAGGAATCAAAATACTTGATATTTCCCAATGTTTAAAAACATATCCATGGATTTTCCATGGCTTTATGCTATGGGTTTTTGTGTTTTCTTGTTTGCTATGTCTTGTTCCCCCTTCCCTCCTGTTGTCCCCTCCTCGCTGGAGGGGATTTCTAGCTGATGTACCAAAATAGTATGATTTCAAACAACTTTCATCAGTGATTTGAAACCATAAGATTTTATATTTTTAAAACTAGTTGATCTGCATGGCTGAGTAAATTGTTAGCACATCATCCAGCACTGTATTGGCTCCTAAGCCCAGCAAAAGTATTGATAATTAATAAGATTATTATAAACTTCATTACACTTCTGTGCTGAGAGTTTGCTAGGGTCTGAAGTTTCAGTGGTAGGCAAAAATATTAAGCTCAATGTAAAAAATGATGATAAGAAACAAGGCAGTAGGCCTATAATCTCAGACATATTTCTGATCTCACTGTGTGGTGGTGAAGAATAAAAGCCATACACAAACTAGAGACTGACATAGCTAGTCAAGTCATTGGCTGCCTGGTGAAGGCAGCTTTAAAAACAAGTATTTTGTGCTTCTCTAGCAGTAGAAGCAACCATATTAAATGTTAGAATTTGACTTTTTTTGTTTTAACAAGGAGAGAAATGTTCTTTTCACAGCCCAAACTTTGTTTGAACCTAACAGGGTCCTAGTTATATGCTGCATGACAATGGGTTAGGGTTCAAAAGCATCCTCAAGGCAAACCTAATCATAGTTCTGAGGACAGGTGCAATCACCCCAAATTTGTATCCACATTTGCATTATTTTCCT